TACTTGTTAATGAATTCAATATAAGGATTTTTAAATGTCTAGATGCTAATTTTTTATTTATAATGTTTTTAGTATACTGTAAAATATATAGACCTCATTCAAATACTCCTCATAATTCCAGTCCACGCCACTCCATTCCACTAAGTGTTTTACGTCTTCCTACTTAGCCAACATTTTGAAAAAATACAGGTAAAACACACCTAAGTGAGAACGTGGTGCAGGTAGAGAACAAAAGAATTAAACTACAGGTAGACCACAATCTGTTTTCAGCTGTATGTATAATATAAGCCAAATAAAATATTTAACTTGTAGTTGTGTGCATGTATATAAGAACAATGTCATGTATAAATGTTATATTTTGTGATGTTAACAACCTTAATCACGACGATTTAATTCAGAAAAAAAATAAACTTCCTTAAAAATCGGCCTCATTTTTTAAGGTGCAAATAATTCTTCCCTTTAAATTAAAATTTAAATATTTCTATGGATAGACAAGCACTTTACAATACCTGTAACTTAAGGTAGGTCGCGGGTTTACTGCATAAAAATTCTTACGAGAATACATATCCTGAAAATATGATATAATGTTCGTTAGAATTTACAGCGTATTATCTGCAATTTTTATTAAATTTGCCTACGTAGTTTTAATGCTATATTACTGTAAACGCGGTATAGTTTTTAGTACATTTTTACGCTTTACTATTGAAATAAATGGAAAAATGACGTTTTTAAGCCAATTTTGTGAAAATAGTTTCTTTAAAAAAGGTTGCATGACTTTTTAAAAAGCTAGACAAATTAGTCAGGAATTTCAAAATATCAAGAAAAGGTAAAATCAAAACTATTGATATAATAAAATCAATATGTATTCTCGGTAGATTTTTTGCTAAATAATTTCAAAGTTTGCTTTTCTATTGCTGAAGTGTTGCGTTTATGGCGTTATTTATGGCGTTGTTTATGTATATAACGTCATAAGTTGAACGTAGTCACTTACGGGTATAAATAGCTTGACATTTGGAATATGTAAGATCTAAAAGGTGACATAGATGCAAAATTGAATTCTATTCATCATTTAACTTATTGCAGAGACATGTTAGGATGAGCAGCAACTTAGTTTCACTAATATTGTGAAATTCATATTTTGATCACATTTAGTCAGAATGAATGGTATAAACATTCCTGAGTGATAAATTATTAGTACCGGTATTTTTAATTAGGAAATGCATGGTCAATGGGATTTTTGGCAGTACACATAAATTTGATCACTTTATTCGAAAATGGTAAAGAAAAAACACCCCGATACTGAGGAAATTAGCGGGGGCGGGGGGTGTTTACCTGCAATGTTCTTTCTATATTAGTCGCAAGCTTAGTACGTGATTTAATTTCGAATTCTCTGAATCTAATTTCCATACGCGAAATGTAAAACACTTGTATTTAGCTTTTACACTTAGAGCTTTTGTTTTAAAATACAGGGGAAAAATGATACTTGAAAATTGTTTACAGTGTCATATAGGACTTACAGGTGTTTGAATAAATTTGGTTTAAAAATGCATTTCACAATTTTTTAGCCAGCAAAACAAGGCGATTGATATTTTTATATCAGAATAACCAAATAATAATAATGATGATGATAAAATAAAATCAGGAAAATACATGTAATTAAATTTAACCCGTTTTTTAGGTTTGAGGATTGATTTCATCCTGAAAATTATACGCATATTTTCGCCCCGGTTTTTATTGGTAGTCATGATGCAATAGGCATGTTCCCTATGAGTTGCAAATAACGTACACACATACAACCCTTATGTTATGTAACACTTACAATATATTTCTTTCATTCGGTACTGTATTTAATTTGTCGTTAGACATTACATATAATCAGAATTCAGACTGAAACTTAATTATAAAACATGAACGAGGTTTACGTACAATAGCATGCATGATATATTTAATCTACTTGATTCGTACTTGACTTCATAAGTCATTTTCAGTTAATTAAACAGGAAACAACGCAACGTCGCATTTGTGACGTAAATGACGTCATAATCAAGTGTGCACAAAACAATCGGATCGTCGAAATTGTGTACCGAAATTGATTTTGACAAAAGCAAACCCGCCACCTACCTTAAATTTGTTAGACGTGTTTCATACACATGATACCCTTTATAAAATACAACGTATTTGCAGAAGTATAAAAATTAATCAAATTTGAATATTTTCAGTTGTAGCAAATGATACTCAGGATTCACGTTCTTTGAAGAAATTCTTGGTATTTCTTACCGGACTAAAAATTAAAAAAGGTCCCCAATATTCGCTAAATAAATTATCATTGATTTTTCATGCAATGCAGATGCACATACATGTAGTGGTAAAAAATCGATGAATATTTTAGATAGGCTGCATTTGTGAAAACGATAAAGCATGTTCACATAATCCATACTGTTGGGAAAAAAGAATAGCATATATTTGAAGGCAAACTAAGTTGTACAAACCTTTTATTCAAAGGATAATCCGCATCAACAATTACGAAGTATGTCACATTACAAATTGAAGAATTCTACTCGGTATATCGTTTCTATGTTGAGGCTGTCTTTGTTTGGACAAATGTTTTGCTGTTGTCACGAATAAAATATTATCGCTTTAGAATAGACCCACTGCAATACATGAAAACTTATCTTTTTTGTTTGTGTTCTGATTTTTAGCCGGGCTTTGCTGAAAGCAATGTCCTGGCTATAGGCATCATGATCGACTGTCTTACTATAAATAGCACAGTAAACAAACAAGAGGCCCAGGGGCCACATCGCTCACCTGAGCAATTGGGTAGGAAAAAGCACATATTATTAGATCAGAACTGAAAGTTTACTGAGGGGGGGGGGGGCTTGAATTTTAACCCCCCAGGGCGTCATGATTTGAACAAACTAGAATCTACACTACCTGAGGATGATTCCCTATAGATACCACTAAGCATGACTTCGAAGTACTTGAAAAGAAGATTTTAAAAGGTTTCCCTATATATTCCTATGTAAAACTTTTATCGGCCATTTGGCCCCACCCTACCCCCCGGGGTCATGATTTGAACAAAGCTGAATCTACACTACCTGGGTATGATTCCACATGAGTTTCATCTTTCCTGTCTCAATGGTTCTTGAGAAGAAGATTTTTCCTATATATTCCTAAGTAAAACTTTTTTGGCCCCACCCTAGCCCCGGGGGTCAAGATTTCAATAAACTTGAATCTACACTACCTGAGGATGATTCCACATGAGTTGCATCTTTCCTGGCCCAATGGTTCTTGAGAAGAAGATTTTTAAAGATTTTTCCTTCATATTCCTATGTAAAACTTTGATCGGCCATTTTGGACCTACCCTAGCCTCGGGGGTAATGATTTGAATAAAATTTAATCTACACTACCTGTGGATGATTCCATGCACATGGGTTGCATCTTTCCTGCACCAGTGGTTCTTGAGAAGAAGATTTTTAAAGATTTCTCCTTCATATTCCTATGTAAAACTTTGATCGGCCATTTTGGCCCCACTCTAGCCCCGGGGGTCATGATTTGAACAAACTTGAATCTACACTACCTGAGGATGATTCTACATGAGTTTCATCTTTCCTGGACCAGTGGTTCTTGAGAAGAAGATTTTTAAAGATTTCTCCTTCATATTCCTATGTAAAACTTTGATCGGCCATTTTGGCCCCACCTTACCCCCGGGGGTCATGATTTGAACAAACTTGAATCTACACTACCTGAGGATGATTCTACATGAGTTTCATCTTTCCTGGACCAGTGGTTCTTGAGAAGAAGATTTTTAAAGATTTCTCCTTCATATTCCTATGTAAAACTTTGATCGGCCATTTTGGCCCCACCTTACCCCCGGGGGTCATGATTTGAACAAACTTGAATCTACACTACCTGAGGATGATTCCACATGAGTTTCATTTTTCCTGGCCCAGTGGTTCTTGAGAAGATTTTTTTTTTAAATGCCATTTATTTTTCTCTAATTCCTAATTATCTCCCCTTGGAAAAGGGCGTGGCCCTTCATATGAACAAACTTGAACCCCCTTTACCCAAGGATACTTTGTAGCAAGTTTGGTTGAAATTGGCCCAGTGGTTCTTGAGAAGAAGATGAAAATGTGAAAAGTTAACAACAACGACAACGACGACGACAACGACAACAACGACGACAGACAACGGACAAATTGTGATCAGAAAAGCTCACTTGAGCCTTTGGCTCAGGTGAGCTAAAAACCACACAGCGTCAGAGCAGACGCTTCCGATAATAGCAAAATAGTCCCATTGCGAGATGATATTCAATATTTTTTAATATCCCAATTGTTGGAAAATTTAATGATCAATATTTTTGCTTGAGAATAAATCCGAAAGAGAAATTAGGTATTTGCTTTTGGGGGATAACCGTGATATAACAATTTGTGCACAAACGCTGCTGAATGTATATTGTAAGCGAACTATTTTCAATAGGCGGCCTTTTCGAAATGTTGAAATTGTTGAAGAGTTTCATGTTTCATATCTTTTTCGTTGATGTTATGTTAGTGGTTATATTCTGATTTGATTTTTAGCAAATTAATAGTGAAGTGAATATGAATTTTAAAAATTAACATGCGTGAAGTTGTTTGACAATGTACATGTATCAGTGTTTCTACATGTAGTTGGTGATAAAAGTACTGTTTGTTTGAAAGTAAGAGAATGTCTATAAAATACACATGTGCATTATTTTAACCATTCCAAGACTGGATTTTCAAATTATGAGAAAAAAATGCTTATTGAATAGAAAATATGCGAGGAATTCTTGGAAATATCATTTATTAAATTTAAAATCATATCATATCTCGGAAATATTGACTGGTGTTATGTAAATTATCCAACAACTAAACATTTCTTCTTTCAATACATGTGGCAAAATTGCTTACATTGATTCACAGTTTGTTCTGATTGTCATTTTATATTTTATTTTGCCCTCATATTTTTTATGTTTTTATGCATGAGTTAGAGAATTCAAATTCAACTATGTGCTTAATATATTCACTGTATCTCTCTTTAAAGGACATGAGCACACAGTTTAAACTAATTTTTTAAAACCTATGTTAATGTTTACAATTCCTAATTAAGGCATTTCAAATAATCAGCAAAAATTTTAACATCATTTGTTGATTGATATAGGAGATACAGATCTTTTAATTCTGCATAAGGTTAACAAGGCTCGTGTCTTGTTTTTGTTTACATATATATAATATCATATAAATAATAAAACCAGATTCCGCAAATCACTAGAAACTGTCTAATCGTATATAGAGTTAACTTTTTTATTGGGAAAAAAATCGCATTAAACGAACACATAAAAGTATATTTAACCTATGTAAACAAAAACATGACACGACCCTTGTTTAAATAATAAAGCTTTGAGGCTCTAATTCTGTCTTGTTTTTCGACAACTGAAATTCAATTTTTAATGATAATTAAAAGTACCTTAATTAAGTTTTTATAAACATGGGGAAAAAAACGAAAATCTTTCGCTGAAACTGTGACCATATCCCTTTAAATACATTTGCAAGTTCGTTCCATAGAAACACATATTTATATTACATACTTTATGATTGTTTTTCATAAGATACTTATATCATTCATACAACATTCTTATAAAAAGCCTTTTTCCAGAAGGAAGATTACAATAATATTTTTTTAATGGAAGAATGTCACCATTACAGAATATAAAGAATAACTCGCAAGGTAAAATATACATTCCAAAAAGTTTGCTTCAATTTTTTTCTTCAAAATATTTTAATGTTTTACCAATGTATTTTTGTATCTTTATGGCATTCATACATCTATAAAGTAATGCTCACATTTGTTGATTAAGTAAAGAACCTTGTCTTCCATACTACTGTCAGATATCTTCAAATAACTCCTTTAGAATACCTTTCAACAATGTGTGAGCATGAGTTCAGATTTGAATTCTAGCTAACGTTCTTTATAATAGAAAACATTTACCAATATAAATAAATAAATATCGGACGCATTCTAGAGAAACTAAATTAATACTTCCATACGATTATTTACGTAAGCAGTTTTACACTATGCACTCGTTTTAAATACAGCCAAATTTACAAGAAAAATTGTAAAAATTTAAAAAAAAATGTAATACATTGAAATGAACAATATTGAGGTAATTGTTTTAAAACGAAATGCTCATCCACGTTAGGAAACCTGTAAGAACGAGGGTCCACAAACCTGGAAAATATGTTCTCCCGTCACCTGAAAAATATTTGTACTTTAAATGCATGGAAAATGTGTTGTAATCCTAAAACCTTACAAAATTCACTACAGATGCAATAAATAATTCACAATTTATTATATCATTACGTTGGAAAATCAATATCCTTGTTTACATTTGTTTGATTTATTGTATTTTGTGGTTTAAACTTTCTCAGTCATTTGGGGAAGTCACCATATACATGTACCGATGAAGGGCTTCAATTTTTTAACCCTGATGATTAAGACGTCCGTGATTTCTCTGCTCCTGATTTGTATTGTTTGCATTGAATTTTGAATTCGAATACTTTTCGTTAATCTCCTTATTTTCAACATTTCATGGCTCTCAGGGGGCTACTGTGCTGTTGTGCCAATCCCATGGTGACAGGAAACTTCCGTTTTTAAGGTCTCATCCACAGAATTCTGACCTTCACTTCTTTTGAGAACAGTCAATACACATGCTTACGTACGTCTTAGGTTTGATTAATTGAATTATAGAATGTTGTTTAAGGAGGCTAGGGGGTCAATAAATTTAACTTAATTTTTTAGATATGATATCTTAAGCTGTCAACTATCATTTGGCAAAGAAAAATTTCATAAATTTTAGTTTTAAAATTTGATCATTTTATTATATCTCTATATGGAGCTCTTCTTCTAAAGGAGATCAAAATAGTCTAAAAATGGCCACAACCACCTAGCTCCTTTAATGTCCCAATTTGAGAATTTTTCACTCATATGTTGTTATATATCGGTGAGGAGCTTCAAATTTGGACCTTTACTCGGTACTCAGGATCTTTAAGCAGTGATGGATCTTTATCGTGCCAACGCCCGCCGTGACAAGGGACCTCGGATTTATCCGAAGGACCAGCAACAATCACTTCAAATTGCCGAGCGCATGGCGAATGAACAGTATCTAATTTTTTTCGATTTAGGTCAGTCGCAGACGAGATTCAAACTCAGAACCTTCTGTCCACAGAGCGAGAGAGTTACCCTGATGCCTTAGGTTTGACTGTAGTGACTGTAATAATTTTTAATCGTACATCCCATTTAAAATCAATTAACTTTATATTTAGATATCTATGATAATTAAGAAATTGATAATGATAAAACTTAATTTGATGTTATTAAGTTCACTTATTGTATTTAAAAATATATTTCAGCTGAACCCATGATCAACCTATACAGTTAAAAAAAATAATTGTTTAACCCTTCATGAATTAAAGCGGATTCCAAGAGAGCACAATTTCACCAATCTACATTTTGTAAATAAAAGCATATTTTATTTCCTACCATCTGGCATGGCATGTTTTTCTTGATTTTTACTGACATTGAAAAACAACATTTAATCGTTTTAAAAAATCATCTCGGACAAAGACAATTTGGACAGTTCCTTTTGGCAGTTATTGTTACTGATAGCTATATACAACTTCTTTGAAGTGTCTGCGAAATCACTGAACTGAAAAGAAAGAAAGCTTGTAATATATCCCTATTTTACCGCCAATTTTCAACTTACTTGATTGACACTGGATGCCACCTTCACGCCTTGAATTCAAACTCGCAAGTGTTTTAGCAGTTTCTGATATGAATTCCTTAATTTCTTCATTATCACACGTAGGTAAAGCCATCGTAGCACATGACGAATAATCTGATATTCTTCTGTGATAACATATAAAGAAGAGGTAGTCACATTTAAACAAAAAATATATAACAGTCTTTATGTGAATTTTGTAACAACTTAAAAGGAGTACTTATATGAACCTACATAAGTCCATGAAAAATTATTCGTGACCGTGAACATGTAGCTTGCCTTATTTGGGTACTAAATCTTTACTCTAGGCCAAAAAATTAACATTATCAAAACTTATTAATAAATAATTCTTGTGGGGTGCTTTGGATATCGTTTTTTTTTTCCAACTAATTATTGGATTGAAAAATATTACAAACTATGCATATATTTTTTTTTTAAATTCGAAATCAATCCTTCTGTTTTAACATAAGGAAAAAGTAACACTTACTTGCATTCGTTACTTTCCGTTTCTTTTTGCAAAGGTGGTTTTAAGTGTTGCTTGCAGTTCTGGTTAATTTTGGAGCTGGCAAGACAAGTCTTGAAGGAATTCATACCTTTAAAAGGCCAATGATGCAATTTTAAGAGGAAGCATTTTTGTATATTTCATGATTTCTTTTCTTTTTCAAATATTAAATTATTTAAAAAATATATTTCCCCAATTCATTAAAAAAAAAGCAACTCAAACCTGTCTTCCTAGATATGTCAGAACAAAGATTTTTCAATCCCTTAATTTTCCTTTGTATGTCTTTATTCTGTGGACAATTCTCAAGTTGGGATTCCAGACACAATATAGATCTCTGTATGTCACTAAAAGATATATCATCATAAGTTTTTAGGTCACCTGAGTAACTCAGGTGACCTATTGCTATCCGTTTTCGTCCGTCGTCGTGTGTCGTGCGTCCTGCGTCGTTTGTTAACATTTGTACGTTTTCGGCTTCTTCTCTGAAACCACAGAATCAATTTCAATCAAATTTGGTATATAGCATCTATGGGTGAAGGGGAACAAAAATTGTCAATATTATGGTCCCCGCCCTCCCCCTGGGGCCTGAGGGGTGGGTCCAAACCAAACCACCCACTAAAATTATTGCAATCTTTAAAATTCTTCTTTAATCCTGGACATCAAGCAGACAAACTATTGGCATGAATGTAATGAACATTGAGTCCTCTACCAAAATTGTGAAATTCATGGCCCCAGGGTCAGGGGTTCTAGTGCTAGGGCGGGGCTATATAGAGTATATAGTGAAAATGCATTATTTCTTTGAAAATCTTCTTCTCTGCTCCTGGGTATTAACTAAACTAACTTAGTACATAGTAATGATGAGCAAGAGTGCCTCTTCCAAAATTGTGAAATTTTTTTTTGCCCCAGGTCAGGGGTTCTGGTGTTAGGGCGGGGTTCTATGGATTATATAGTGAAAATGCATTGTTTCTTTGAAAATCCTCTTCTCTGCTCCTGGGTATCAAATAAACTAACTAAGTACATAGTAATAATGAGCAAGAGTGCCTCTCCCAAAATTTTGAATTTTATAGCCCCAGGGTCAGGGGTTCTGGTGTTAGGGCGAGGCTCTATTGATTATATAGTAAAAATGCATCGTTTCTTTAAAAATCTTCTTCTCTGCTTCTGGGTATTAAATAAACTAACTAAGTACATAGTAATGATGAGCAAGAGTGCCTCTTCAAAAATTGTGAATTTTTTGGCCCCAGGGTCAAGGTTCTGGTGTTAGGGCGGGGCTCTATTGATTATATAGTGAAAATGCATGAATTCTTTGAAAATCTTCTTCTCTGCTTCTGGGTATTAATTACACTAACTAAGTACATAGTTATGATGAGCAAGAGTGCCTCTTCCAAAATTGTGACTTTTATAGCCCCAGGATCAGGGGTTATGATGTTAGGGTGGCGCTCTATTGATTATTTAGTGAAAATACATTAATTCTTTGAAAATCTTTTCTTTTCTCCTGGGTTTCATGTCAATGATCCAAGTATATATATGTATGATGAAGAAAGGTGCATCTAGCAAAATGGTTATTTTTTTATGCCTCCCTGGGTCGGGGGGGGGGGGAGATTACATAGTCTGAATATAAATTAGTGCTTTGAAATTTGGTCTTTGGTATTTATCAACCATTCTATGATAACATTTGCAAAATTTTGAAATATGTGGCCCCAGGGTCAGTGGTTCCTTTTGGGTGAGGTTCACAACTGGTTATAAATTGGAAGTGCATTTTCTCTTTGTTGTTCTGATCTACCTCTTAGTATTAAGTAAATAGAGTATGCATGCTTAGTTTATAATTATGATAAGCAATGGTGCCTCTTTCCAAATTTTCAGAATTTCATGGCCTCTGGTTTAAAACACGAACCAAATTCAATTGTTGGAAAGAAGTAACATGATAATCTGGTGACCTATAAGGCCCGTGGGCCTCTTGTTTGAAGTTTTAGATTTATTCAAACCATAATATAAGTTATCTCCACAATAAAAATGCTAAGGACCTCGCCCTTTTTTTCATAGTTTTAAAACAGTGTTTATATTCTAAATGAAGCCAAACTGCAAAGTTGTTACAAGGAAAATAATAAAAATCAGTTATAAATACAAAATACTTACGTGCAGTTCTCAACTGGAAAATCCAATCCATTTAGGCATCCACCCTTACAAACTACAAGTAGAATCCAGTAAATAATGTAAAGAGCGTCAGTACGTTTTTTTTTTTTTTATTCCTAAAAATAGTGACAAAGAAGCCCCATGAATTATTTTCACCTAAAGGTTCATAATTAATGTAAGATAATTTAAAAAGAATTCAAATCACCTTTAATGCAGACATGGAACATAAAAATGCACCTTAACCTACATGTATATTTGAGTTTGATTTAATAATCTTGTAGATTTTTTTTAAAAGATAGAAACACATGACAGATACTCCACACTGGGTTCTGAACTATAGGTAATCCAGCATATACTTTTACAATTTTGGAAGAAGACTTTGCTTTAAAGGTATACAAATCTTTGATGAATATGTCAATTTAATCTTTATTTTTAAAAGGAGATTGTTCTCAGAAACAGTACATATTTTATATACTACAGTAACTGGTGGAATATTTAAAGAAATTGAGTCATATTATTTTTCTAAATCTTGTCCTTACCAGCCTTGCATGCCGTATGAAGCTGTTGTATTGCTGGTTTTGAAATTTTAAATATTGAATGATTCTTGCAGCCTGATTCAA